GCCCCCCGTCACCCCACATCCGTGCTCCAGGGCGTACCGGCTGGGCAGGGGGGTGCTATCCTGAGGGACCCTCTGTGGGCTCAGGGGGGAGTTGGGGCCGGGGCTTGCCCCCCCCAAGCAACCTGGGGTGTGCCCTCCCCCAGTGCAGTAGGGAGCCCAGCAGCTGCCAATCAGCCGTGGGCTCCCGGGGCCCGATCCACAGCGCGGGGCAGGGCCCGGCCCCCTCACCTGTCACGGCCGCGGTCCGGGAGGTGGCCACGCCCTTGGCATTGTGGGCTTCACAGGAGAACGAGGCGCTTCTGTTCAGACCTGGAAGGGGCAAAGCAGGGGGAGGGGATGAGAGCATGGGGCAAGGGGACCAGGCTACCCCCCCAGTGCCCCTCACCCCTGCCCACAGCCCCCCGCCCCCCGGTGCCCCTCACCCCAACCCGCAGCCCCCCGCCACCCTGGTGCCCCTCACCCCCGCCCCGCAGCCCCCCACGCCCCGGTGCCCCTCACCCCCGACCCGCAACCCCCTGCCACCTGGTGCCCCTCACCCCAACCCGCAGCCCCACCCCCCCGCGGTGTTCCTCACTCCCGACCCACGGCCCCCCCCGCTGACCCCTGCCCCGCTCTCTGGGCCCAGCCCCTTCCCCCTTTCCTGGCTGGGTCTGGCCGGGCGAGGGGGTGTCAGTGCCAGGCGTTCCCATCCCTCCCCGTTCCCAGCTCCTGCAGCCGCCTCCCGTCCCCCAAGGTCATGGCGCCTCCAGCTTATCAGGGCGTCCCCCGCAGGGACTGGGGAAAGGGCACTGGGTGCGGGGGGTGCTGGGTCTTCAGCCAAGGCCAGATTGTTCCGGAGGCCGGGACGGGCCACTGGCAGGGAGCGGCTGTGGTGCAAATTCCCAGTCCCCCCCAAATCCCTGGCACCTCCCCATTCCCTGCTCCTCTGCCTAGCCTGGGGCACAGTGCAGGGATGGGAGGGGGTCCCAGGCAGGGGGCAGAGGGGGCGGGGTGGGGCGGGAGGCAGGGCAGCAAGGCGTGTGTCTGTCCACGCTGTGCTCCAGGAACTCAGCCGGCGCCTGCCCGGGGCGTCAGAGCGAGCGGAACCAGCTTCCCGCAGGCCCCAGCCTGGCAGTGCCCCCCTCCTCCCCCAGCACATCTGGGGCCCAGGCTCCCGCCCAGCCGGCCTGGCCAGGGCTGGTATGTCAGTCCCCAGCTCCCGCCATGTGGTGGCATTTCCGGGTCTGGCTCCCCGGCCGCAGCCCCACGGCAGGGACCTCAGACAGGGCTGGGGGCTGGACTGAGGGGGGTTGGCAGCCAGGACTCCTGGGTTCCACCCCCAGCTTGGGGAGGGGAGTGGGATCTAGAGGTTAGAGCTGGGGGGAGGCTGGGAGCCAGGACTCCTGGGTTCTCTCCTGCCTCACAAGGGGGTACAGCTCAGGAGAGATGCAGCCAATGGAAGGCCTGAGGTGAAGGCCTGACACCTGGGTGAGGGGCTGTGCTGACCCCCCGTCCCCCAGCACTCCTGCCGCAGCCTGGATCCCAGCCCAGAACCAGCGGCCGGGCTGCGGCTGGCAGGGGGTGGGGGGAGCTGGGCCAGAACCACTGCCCAGGGGCGGCGGGGAAAAGCGAATTTCAAGGAATTTGCCCCCCTGTGGTCCCCCCATGCCAACCCTGCCATAGCCCCCCATGTCCTGCATGCACCCCTTGCCCTGCCCCCCCTGCCCCCAGCCCCCTAGAACTGCACCCCCTGCCCACACCCCTGTTCCCCTGCCCCTCCATTCCCAGCCCCCTCTGCGCGCTCCATGCACCCCCCAGCTGGCAGACCCCCAGCACTGCCGCTCCCTTCCCCTGCAGAGTTCTGCAGCGGCCCCCTCCGCTCCCAGCCTGGCTGGGCCCCATGTCTATGGGGGGGGGGACAAGGCGGCTGGACTATCACCCCCAGCCCCCCCATGCCATGCAATGGACCTCGCTAGCCACACCGGGCCCTGTGGTGGCACCAGCCGGAGCCCTGACCCACCAGCACTGCACCTGGTGCCGCTGCACCCCCCCCAACACTGCTGCTCCAGAGCCCCCCATCCCCCATCTCAGCCCCTCTCCTGTCCCTCCTCCCCCCAGCCTGACTCACACCCCAGTCACCTCCGGCATCTGCTGCCCGTTCCCCCAGCCTGAGTCAGCAGAGGCAGGCTGGCCACGTCCGTGGGGGCGGGGGCTGGGGGAGGGGGGGTCAGGCACTGTCACAGCCTGGGACTGCTCGGCCAATGGGGCACCCTCCCTGGTCCTGATCCGAAGGGGGGACCCTCCCCCACAGGCGAGACAAGACCTGCCCCATGCAGATCGACCAGTGTGGATGGGGCAACCCCCGACATCTCCCAGCTCCCCGAGGTCCCTCGGGCACTGGAACCGGCCAAATGGGTCACAAGGAAAAATTCCTGGTTTGGGGTCAAAACGTCTTTTGTTTCAACATGCAGCTAACCAGACTGGGCTCCACCCCGCCTAGTGGTTAGAGCAGGGGGGCTGGGAGCCAGGACTCCTGGGTTCTCTCCCTGGCTGAGGGAGGGGAGTGGGGGCTAGTGGGTTTTGGGGGTGGGGGGAACTGGGAAGCAGGAGTATGTGACCATGGGGATGCTGCGTCAGTGCTCTGTGCCTCGGTTTCCCCTGTAATGAGCGACACCCGGCATAAAGGTTTCAGAGGGGAGCCGTGTTTGTCTGTATCAGCAAAAACAAGGAGGATCCTTGTGGCACCTCAGACACTAGCAAATGTATTTGGGCCTCAGGTCTCGTGGGCTGAACCCACTTCAGCGGCTGCCCGGAGTGGAGCATAGAGGCAAGTATGGGGGGGCCAGCTAACAAGGCAATTCAGTGAAGGTGCAAGTGGCCTATTCTCCACAGTTGGCAGGACGGGGTGAATACCGAGGGAGGGGAAATGGCTCTGTAGTGCTGACGAGGCCAATGCAATCAAGGTGGCCCATTGCCAGCAGTTGACAGCGGGTCACCCCCGCTGCCCCCCCCTCGGTACGGCACCTCCCATCCTTTCATGGATTTGTACCTGCCCCTGTATGCTCCACTCCGGGCAGCCGCTGAAGTGGGTTCAGCCCACGAGAGCAGAGGCCCAAACACATTTGCTCGTCTCTGAGGTGCCCCAAGGATCCTGGTCGTTCCTACCCTGTATAAAGGCCCTGCGAGCCGCGCAGGGGACAAGTCCTGCTGACACAGCAGGCGCGAGCCGCTGACTCTGCGATAAACACCCTGCGGCCGCCAGCTCTGCCCAGCAGCAACCCTACAATAACAGAGCAGCGTCTGCGGGGCTTGCAGAAGCCCGGAGAGTGCCCGCCGTCCCCCCGCCCCCGCCCCAGCCCTGGGGAACCAGCCGTCGCCAGTGACTGATGCCACCCTCCAGACAGGCGACAAAAGGGGCCGCGGGCCGGAGACAAGCGGCCTATTGAGAGCGGGGCCGGGGAGGGGGCAGCGAGGGCCCCCCCCGAATGGAGATGGAGGCCAGCGCATGCCTCGGCTGGCTGCTCCCCCCACCCCCGCCTCTGCCTCCTTCCCCATCCCCCGCTCCCAAGGACTCCTCTGCTCTCTAGCGCCCAAAGTTGGGGGGGCTCTGCCCTCTGGCCCCCACCCCCTGCCCCCAAGGGGACACCTCCCCCGCACTCACCGCTCACGGACAGCGTGGAGGGCGCCCGTGCCATGGGGTCCACCAGGGAGTTGAGGGGAGCCCCGTCTTGCAGCCAGATGACCCGCACCGGCTCGGGGGGGCCCTGGGCGCCGCAGCTCAGGTTGAAGGGCGTGTCAGCTGCCACCTCCAGGTCCTGGGGCTCCTCGGAGAAGAAGGGCAGACCTGGGGGAGGGCAGCGCTGCGTTCAGACTAGTCCATCGTCCAGGGCTCCGCCCATGCTGAGCGTCGCCCCCACTTGGACGGGTACTGGGGGGCCCCCAGGAGCTGGGGCATCTCTAGCTGCCCTCTCCCCACACTGCCCTACACAGAGTCCCCAGAGCAGTGGGGTTGGGTGTTAGCACCCCGTCAAGATACCGGCGCAGCTCGCCAGCGACGGGCGCAGGCTCCCTGCAGACCCAGGCAGCGTCGCTCACACTCAGGGCAGCTCCCCCCACCCAGCGA